TTTCTCAATATCTATCTATCCATCCATCCATCTATCTATCTATTATTTGTGACGGTACGCACCGGTAAAGCGTACAGGCACCTTTTTCAATGTGGGGAAAAATTATTACTTTTCTTGTATTTTAACGTTTATTATTAATTTATTAGTTATTAAAGGTTAGGCAATCCATCACTGAGTACCGGTATCTATTTTTTTTTACATAAAAGCACTATATATATATATATATATGCATAAGTGCATAAGGCCTAATTCTTTATGAACTAATTTTGTTAAATGTGGAAAAGAGCTAGACACTCTTTTTTTTAGAACAAACTCTCTTAATCTGATGGTAAATTATACTAATAGTATTTTTTTTTCATATTTTGCAGAGAGTTACTCGTTCGAGTTACTTTATAGAAATATAGAATGCCTTTTGAAGAAGATAATAACCCCGGTGCTATCAACAGTCCACCAAGTTCTCCAAACAATGACCTCCCGCCATGTAAGTACTTCATAAATGTAAATAAAATATATTGTTTGTTTGTATATTTAGATTAGGTTAGAAATCCACCAGCACAAGCTGCATGAGAAATGTCAATCAATTTTTTTTACATCAAGCACTATAGATGTAGCCCATTTACAGTGACTCGTGGCGGGGTTCGAATCAGCACCCTTACAGCGCCCCCCCCCCTTTCTGTTTAATCCGGATTTTAGAATGCCCCCATATTTCTTTCATAATGCCGTTAATATATTGTTGTATTTAAACAGCCACAGTTTCCTTATGAAACAGACATGTTGGCTTCTTATCATATTTCATCATGTTCCTAGTAGAGTCTTATCCCATAAACACACAAATGTTAAAGGTCATGGGACCAATCCATGAGAGAAAAAAGGAAAGTCCTAACGAAGGTAAAAAATATAATATATATTTCAACGTTGTTGTTTTTTTTGGAGGAGGGATTTTCTACACCGACGTTTCGGTGGGCTGGGTGGAACCACTTCGAGAGCCGCATCTGGCCTGCGGCCGTATTTTCGGCATCACTGGGCTGGAGCATCTCCGTATCGCAGATTGACCTAGATGCTACAGTAAATTTCGTCAAATGAAGAATTTCAGATATAATTTATCAAATAGATTTTGTTCCATGGATTTTTAACATTGAAAACACAAATTTGGGTGGAAAACCTAATTGATTTTTATCTAAAGTTATCTTATCACACTGTACTTAGTGCCCCGGCTTGAACCAGGAGATGACAATAGACTTACCTTTAAAACCTAGATCTATGTACCTTCCCACCCAGTCTATTATTTCCCTTGTCGCTAACATCATATCAGTAATAGAATTAGGTGTACCTAATTAATTTGACGTCATAAAATAGCTTATGTCATACACACACACACATTTTCGTGCACTACCGACACTGTCCGCGTGCTATCAATAACCGGAAACACAAAAATATATCAACAATATACACATGGCTCTGACAGCTAGACAGAAACAGTAACACGCACTATACTAACCACATTTTTTTTTAAAAACAGTACCATCAGCCATGAAGAAAAGTGCTTCCATGTATTTGAATGTCAGGATGCCACAGAAGAGGCTGAGGCCGAATGTAGAGGGCACGACAGATATGGGTGAGTAAACATTTAAATAATAGATACGCCTACACTACCTATTAACAGCTCTAGATACGCCTACACTACCTATTAACAGCTCGCTACGTTGGTTCAGACGATCACAGGAGTCATTCACAGAAGTAAACTATTTAGTTTATGGGTTACCGTCTCTTGTTGTCAAATGACTCTGGATCAGAAGAATGTTTTTTGGACATTCCGATGGTCTAGAGGTTAGTTTCGCTTGGTGCGTTATCGCTAGGCGGTGGTGTCGAATCCGGAGTCACAGGTTCGAGCCTCGGTCGGCGCATGCCCTTATTTTCGTAGCATTTTAATTCACTACTTTCTCTCTTAAAAACTTGGTCCCTGGTGCTGTTATTCATTTATGTTTAATATATGTATGTATCATTTGTTTCAGCACCTAGCTTCAACTCTATGTTTACATTGATCTTAAGGTAGAATGTTAAGGTAGAGATTACAGTTTGTAGATTTAATAGATCTAAGTATAAACATGACAACTGAACCAAATAATAAAGAACAATGATTATATTTTCTACATTTCTTGTATCGTGTCGAAAAAAAAAGAAGTTTTGTAGCTATTTTTTACATTTTAGACCTATCGTGCTCAGGGGGCAGATGATCTAATATTTTGTATCGATAGTTAACATTTTAAAGATTTACGAGGTGTTTATTAAGGCCAGCACAATGATTATTACATGATATATCCCCTAGCATAATGTTAAGCAATCTTCAAAGTCTGTTGAGTTCAGAGTCGTCCTGAAATTCAAATTCCCAGTAGGACTCAAACTCCAAGCCCCTGGCTCGGTTCAGACGCCACTCACCGCATTGGTCTTTTATGTGTTAATATAGTCTCATATAAACAACAACGTTATGGTATAAGAGCATACTCGACAATCTTAAAACATGTGAATACAATATGTTAGTAGAGTCAACCGTTGTTGGAATTACTTTTGTTTATTTCTGTGCGTATTTTCACATGCTTTTCTTATTTGCTTAGAAATTCGACTGGCCCTTTCATTTCTACTATTTCCTAAGTCGTATGTCCACCACTGTATCTGTTAATTTTTACTTGATTTAAAGCGCACGCACACACACTTTTGGCGTTCTGAAATGGAAGCCTCACATTAATAATGCAAACAGAAGAACATGCTTCTTACAGGATGTTGATTGACAAGTTAGTCACTAGAAATGAATGTTGTCCAGAACATCCGTTACTATTTTAAATTAATGATTCGATTACTGTAAAGATCCTTTACTTAGGTGCTGGAACAACACACTAGGATCTTAAATAAAACAGTTCTTAAAATTAAAACCTAAACTCTATAAAACTAACTCTGCTCTGTGATAAACGTACAAGTCCTTGTTCCATATGCTAGGACAAATTTGTACAAATGCTCCTTCTTCCCTAGTGTTATTGAAGCATGGAGTGGGTTGCTTGAGTCAGCCAGTAAAGCAAATTACTTAGCATAATTTAAGTAATTGATTAACATAACATGCATGACAAGATTGACCTAGGAACGCGCGCAAAACGTAATCATCATCTTTTTTTGAAGTAACGTCTGTATTTTATAAGATAAAATTAATTTTAGCATTGACATTATTTTTTTATTTAGACCACGTTTAAAAGGAAGCGGAAACGACTTAGTAGACTTAGGGAAAAAGAAAAAAAAATTGAATTGAAAATACAGAATTTGATATTTTAAAAATGCTTTATATGTAGCCTGCGGCTTATGGGGAAATACCGAAAATAAAGGTTTGATAGAAAGCTTGTGGTTTTTCGCGAATAGCGGTCATCAGGCTGCGAATATGTCAATCCGGTTCTTGTGTGTACGAAATTTCAAGCGGATCTGTACGACAGTGTAAGCGATCTCTTGATCAATGAGTCAGTGATGGTATTTGGTAAATATATTTTAGATTTGTTTTTAAGTAAATTCATACATTTCAGTTCTTATATAGATTCTTAAGCAAAAGTTTATATTTGTAGACATATTTTAAGTTTAGATTACATTTCGTCAAAAGAAAAAAACCCTAAAATAATTAGTAAACATAATGCGATTTAAGTCAAACAAAGATTAAAGACCATTATTATTATGTTATGATTCTTTGAACTTCATTATTATCAATCAATAGAACGGCCATCATATGTAAGTTTTAATGCTAATTGATGTTGAAGTAGGGCTTAAACATGATTCGATCTACAATTTTCATCCCAGGAGAGGGAAGCATGTCAGGGGACAGCCTTTACGACCCTACCGAGAAGGTGCAGGACCTGATCAATAAAGTGAGAGACCCAAAGTACAAGACCAGGCAGCTCTTCGTTGAGATGGACGTGCTGACCCAGAGAGGGGAAGACATGGAGTGGAGAGAGTTCGCCAGGTGAGTACAGATGAACAAATTTCTTCTTTTTTGAAGTAACGTCTGTATTAATTAAGATGCATGCTTTTAATACAAACATTATGATACATTCTTCAGCTTATTGGTCTTTTATTTCTAAAATTTGACCCAGCAGTGGCGTCGCTAAGAGGGAGCGTGGGGGTGCGGACTCTGTCGGGCGATACGCATCATAGTGTGATACCAAAGTAAAGATTGTAAAAAAGTGTCAAAAAACAAACGTCTCACATTTTAGAGTTATGTACCAGCTAATGAAATTTAGCTCTTTGTATAAAGTTACAACATAATAATTAAAACAGCGGACAGATTTTAAAGGAAATCTTTATTTTGGAAAGGTGTGATGGTGGGGTGAAACCATTAGCTAATTGCCCCTATGTGGCACCGACCCAAGCGACGCCTCTGTTTGATTGCACCTTGTTCAATTTGAAATTGATTTCTTGCTAATGTCCAGGTGGGTCAAGTATGAAGAGAAGGTGGAAGAAGGTGGCAAACGATGGTCCAAGCCCCACGTGGCGTCTCTCAATATGCACTACCTGATGGAGCTCCGAGGTCAGATCTTGGACGGTGTGTTTCTCAAGGACATGGAGTGCTACTCTATATCCCAGGTCGTAGGTAGGTCACAGTCTGTATATCCTACAGTCCCAGGCTGTATATCCTACAGTCAGAGACTGTATATCCCACAGTCACAGACTGTATATCCTAAGCTTTAATTGTTTCAAAGGACTCCCATAAACTAGACAGTTTGAAGACTGTCAACCCTCCACACAAATACAAAATGCGACCAGCCAACACAGCGGTTACCTTTAATAACTAATAACAACTTCCGATGTTCTATTGTTTTAACAAGTATCTACTGCAATTACACTTACAATATGAATCATTACAATCATTAGTCATGCAATTAAACGTCCGCCCTTCATAATGCAGTCAGGGCGGACTCTCTAATCATTTCATTTACGGACGCTTTTCTAAAAATATCTCGTAGTAGATGACCTCGTACTGACCCACTTATATGACCAACATTCTTAGCCTATTAGTCTCTACTCTAGGGTCAGCCGCTTATACTTCTTACCCCAGTGCTCCATGTATCTGATCTCTGTATCTGTTTATAATTTGTATATTATTATTTTCCACTTTTCATAATTTTGCTGAAGGTAACTTTGAATAATCAATGCGAATTTATAGTAATTATAATGAAACATCTAAGTAAACAAGTTTGACCTGAATATTGTCAATGTTCTTCAAGATTTAAAATCATAGCTCAAAATCTAGAAGCGCACGGTAGCTATAAAATATGATAGTACCGATGCAATAGATACTGTCAATCTGTCATCTACATTTTGAGCCATTGTAAACTATGTGATTGTGAAAACTTTGGAACATAAGTGCTAGTGCTGATATTTTTGAATTAAGTCCCTTTTATTAATACTTGAACTGACTGCTTGGCAAATCAATTTCTAATAACCAGTTTTAAATGCCAACATGAAGAAATTTTTGTTGAGATCACTATACATATTTAAACAAAAACACAACAAAGACATGTGTTGATTCGTAACTTTGGTCAATAAAGTATTTACTTTGTAATCACAAAAAGATGTTTCCGTCAGATATGAGCAAGTTTTTGGTCTGAAGGATTGAATTGAATTTGACATAGTGTATTTGTATTCGAAGAAACTTGCAATTCAGACAATGAAATAAAATAACAAGAGTAAAAAAAAACAACTACGGAATGCAACCAGCTAAAATCTTTTTTTTTTTTACTTTATTCCTGTGAGCTCCCAGGGGAGCACAGGGCCGGAACCACACCTCTCCAACGAACTGCGATCTGGGCAGCTTTCTTGAACTGCTCCTTTGTCACTCTGTTATGCTCGTCTTCGCAGGTGATTTACCTCTTCCAGGTTTGGTTGGGTCTGCACACTTTTCTCTTCCATTGCGAATTCCAGACAAATGCCTGCCTTGCAACATTGGTAGTTTTTTTTTTTTCCGCCTGGTGTGTCATAGTGATCTCCACTTTCACATTCTGATATCTAGTGATGGGAACTAAACTAAATTTTTTTAGTAAAACTAAAACTAAGTTTGAACTAAAAAAAAGTAATTAAACTTTTAGTTAATCACAAATTGAAAAAATTAGTTAAACTAATCTAAGTAACTTTAGTTAAACTTTTACTAACTATTTTGACCTTTTTTAAGGACGAAGCAGCCCAACATGAAAAATATAAAGCACAACCAATCTCTTTAGCAAAATGTAATAAATATTTATTTGTGCACATGAAAAAAGATTTAAATGTCTTTATGGGATAGATGTAGATCTTAATAGAATCACTAGAATGATACTATTATAGAAAGAAATTAGAAGTAATTGTCCAAGTTCTAATATAAGTTACCTTTAGAAGAAGTAATGATAAAACTGCATATTGACTCTAGTCTAACTAGCTCTAGATTCTAGAATATTCTGGATCTAATATCTTCTGCAAACGAAATGATCAGAAATATCTGGATCTAGAATTAGATCTAGCTACTAGACCTAGATCAAATAATTAATATTTTAATCTAAAAATAATCTAAGAAATACTAGTTACTACTACTACACTAGATCTAAAATCTAGATAGAGTCTAGTAGATATCTTAGTAACTCTAGACCTAGAGATTTTAGATTTTTATAATTATAACTAGATATGGGTATTTAGATCTATATACTCTAGTAGATAATACTAGATCTAGATAGTAGATATAAGTATAATTATAATAGAAGTAGATGTAGATCTAGTCTAGATTTAGTATTAGATCTAGTATAGTGACGACTATTATTAGTTAGTAGTATAGTCATTATAGAGCTATCATCTATATTGCATTATAGGTCTTAGTATAATAAGTAATCTAGATATATCTAATCTAGACTCTAATTCTAAAATAGTAGAATCTCTAAACTAATAGATCTAGTCTAATAAAGTAAAGTAGGCCTAATATAGATCTAGATTTCAATTAATAGATCTATATTATTGACTTACAATTTTAAATTTACATCTAGATCTAAGACTAAGACTAGGCCTACTAAGAGTTAGACTCTACTTAAGACTAAGAGACTAAAATAATTAAATATAGACTATTATGACTATAGATCTAATAGTAGTAATAGACTAACAGACTAGACGTCACTAGACTCTAACTCTAGATCTATCTAGTAAAAAGTTTTATAATAAAAAGAGCCGACATTTCTTTTAGATCTATAGTAAAGCAAAATTCTTTGCCTGCAGCTATATAGGAACACACTGGTGTTTAATAAAAAGCAGCAAAGTGTAGATCTATAGAAGCAAGGAATTATCAGGATTTATCAAGCAGCGAAACTTCTTGAAAATATAATGAACACGTTTATTTTTCTTGCCTTTCAAATACCTTGAACAGGTCACTAGAAAGCCTTTTGACCTTTACCCTATAATTATTCTCCTCTCTATTATTCATTTTATATATTCTCCAAATTACATAGATCTAAATATTTATTGGTATGTATGTTAAAAAAGTTTGTAAAATTTGTAATTAAACTTTTTAGTTTGTAACTAAAAAAAAAATAATTAAACTAGGATTTTAACTAAACTTTTTTTTAAATTAAACTTTGGCCTTAACTATTTTTTTTTTAGTTTAACTAAAAGTTAGCAACTTTTTAGTTAACTTTTGCCCATCACTACTGATATCTTGGGCTATGTTTTTTTTTTTTTTTTTGGTACACTTGTACTTCAGTGTAAACTTGTACTTCTATCAAAAGTCGAGGATCACCGAGTGACTTATTCGCAACAGAACAAGAGGTATCTAAAAATAATTATGATTTTCTTGACGTGGCCAACATTTCCAATGAATAAGAAAGCAATAGTATTAAAACTGCTCATGGCATTTTATACTCCATTGTATATGTAATATTTCCGAAAAAAAGGCTAAAATACCAAAATTATTTCTAGTTTTTTTTTTTTTTTTTTTTGAGATTATCGAACTATGCCATCTCCTATTTCCCAATCAAACTATTTTATTTTCATTGCCCCACTAAGCGTATTGATTTATAAATTGGGGTCCCGACTTCTAAATATTTGGAGACCGCTGAGCTAAAAAGTGAAAGTGACAGTATGTAGGACATCTCCCAATAATGACTTCCCCATCAGTTGACTTACAAATGTGTGACCTTTTGTTTAGTCCTACACACCCCTCCCCTTTTGAAATAGGCTTTTGATATGTCATACAGCAAAGTCATTGTGACCAACTTGTCTTCAACTGACACGCAGCTAACATCATCATGAAATCATTAAATTATTGTTCGTGTTGCCATTTTGACATAGAGTTATGGACAATGGTTTTAAGCTGACCTAAATGGGATGAGTTTGAAGTTCTAGCATGACCTAAATCTGATGAGTTTGAAGTTCTAGCATGACCTAAATCCAATGAGTTTGAGGTTCTAACGTGACCTAAATCTGATGAGTTTGAAGTTCTAACGTGACCTAAATCTGATGAGTTTTTAGTTCTAACGTGACCTAAATCTGATGAGTTTGAAGTTCTAACGTGACCTAAATCTGATGAGTTTGAAGTTCTAACGTGACCTAAATCTGATGAGTTCTAACGTGACCTTAATATGATGAGCTTCAGATTGATTTTGTTAAATTCTAATTATTCAACTCATTAAAGATAAATCCCTTTCTCTTACACAGCTAACTTTAGCATAAAAAAAATCGGATCTGTTTAAGCCAATGTTGATTTCTAGCAACCTTGTCTTTCACCAAAGCTTGAGGGAGAAAAGTACTATTTTGTATGATTTAAAATCATTCTAACATCTATGTACTCGGCTCCGTTAATGTTCAGCACATCCTTGCATCTTTCTTCCCAAGTTTTCTGCAACATTTCTCCAGAGCATAATTGCAATAATCCAATGTCGTTCATTGTACAAATATGATAGCAACAAAATGAAACGCAAAAATACAGCACTAAGTAAAGATTTACATTCATTTATTGAAATAATAATTTTTTTACAAGCTAATTCAGTTAATATAAAAGTAAAAATACTGGAATAGTCATGTGACAGTGGTATATACATGACAAAATCAATTAATCAATGACAGTCACACATTTCATTACATCGCAGGCATGCAAAATTAAAAAAGAAAGGAATCTTAGCAAATATCGTTCACATTTCTCTCTTCTAAATTAAAAATTACAACATCTTCATCCGAAGTGACAGAGGCGTATCGCTGGATCAGTACAAAGATGACATATCAATCGACTTTTATCAATCGGTGTGTATGACGCTGATTCCTTAAATTTGTTTATGAGAAACAAAAGAAGGTGTGTTGTTCTAAGTAGCCTAGGAGAAGGAAAAATGTGAATTCAAACCCCTGCTGTCTTGAAGCTATACTCAAACATGGGAAAAGCTTCGGGTGTTAACCCTGAGGAAAAATCAAGAGCCGGTGACCCTTAGACAGTATGCAGCACTCAGTGCTACAACCTCTCAGAGCCTGCTAGCTGACCCCAAACTATATCGGCACTTGCCGTTTCTTTAGATATATCAGCTTCGTGGAGGGTGGATTGGGGGGGATGGGACCTGATGTGGGGACGACATCGTTCCGTCCGCAGCTAATGCCCAGGCATTCATCTAATTTCCATGGGATAATCTTTAGTCGGCTCGCGCCACTAAAGGAGGCCACATGAGAAGGTTAAAGACGAAATCTTTGAGATGGATTTCTTTGACATATGTCGGGTAAAAGGAGGTACGGACACTCTAAAATTGAGACCTAGTTCTATCTAGAACTATAACCCACTACTCAGCTTTACATAACTTTAAAAAGAAATCCCCAAATTAATTTGAATCCAGATATGAAATGTAAACAAGCACGAAATAAAATCACTTTCTTTTGTTTAGCTAATGATGTTAAATCAATTTCTGCTGACGTGGTCTATAATTTCTAATTCTCCTATTTCTTGCAATGCTTCGCTAAAGAAAGAGTCTTTCCAGAGAGTTGTGCACAATCAGGTTCTTCTATTAACAGTCCAGCTAATGATTTCTACATATGATGTGGGGAACATAATGTTTATGTACGTCTATTTACTTATTAGACTCTACTCAAAAAATTATTTGATTCGATTGCATTTAATTCCCATGTTGAAACTAAAAGACGTTAGCCAAATTCAATTTTAAGATGATAACAATTTAAACATTTTAACTGTTAAACCAGAGTTTTCCCTGCGTGTCCAATCTGGTAGTGATTTG